CAAAAAAAAAAACAAAAAAACTCGTAGAATTTTTTTAAAAATCGCAATATCGTCGTTCTATTTCAGTATTGGCCACTATATTACTTCCCCAGTTTGTGTCGGGGACGCTCTGCAAAAAAGACCACAGGCAATAAAGACAAGACGGCGCGTGGTTCTTAAACAGCGACTAAGTGGGTTATCCAGTTCACGGTCTTAGTTAGGGTTTGAGGGACAAGTAAATAACACTAGCGAGTAATCTCATTTTCTGAACGAGGAGAAAAAAGAACACCACATCTACAATTTGAAAAATGAAGAAATCAAGTGAATATTACCAACACCCGTTAAGTGTGAGAGTGAGTGTGAGTATGAATGTGAGTATGAGTGCACGTGTGCGTGTGTGTGTGTGTGTGTGTGTGTGTGTGTGTGTGTGTGTGTGTTCGTGTCTGTGTGTGCTTTTTCAAATACGACCAAAAACAAAGCTAAGCATCACTGTATTTTCAATTTGAGTAAGTTTTATGGCATTTACACCACAAATAGGTCATATAAGTGCCGAAAGTGAGCGGTACGTGTTACAAGAGAGTACGAGACAAAAAAAAAGAAGGAGAGATAAGGACGGCAGAATATTTGATAGGAAAGAAGGAGCAAACCACTTTAGAGCGCCCGAAAACCATCCACACACAGAGAGGCGTTATGTCCCAGCAATACATAAAAATAAATAAAGTACACACAGAAGCACGATATCAAACAAAATCGGCAAATAAAAAGTATACCACAACATTCCAAATGGGACTAAATGATGCATATGACATTCAAAATTGTATATATGAATATTTTTTTCAATAGAGGCAGTAACAAAATTCTGTAGTGAAAAAAAACAACACAGATACAAATGCTACACATAAACACGTGGCGTTTTCAAAATAAAGTACCCCCCCCCACACACACACACAATATCACACATATGGATAAAGTCAGTGTATAGAAGCTGTAACTGCAACAAATATTCTAGTAAAACGAAAGCCGTGGCATCTACACATCAACATTAAGAATATAGTCACAAAGTGAACCACAAAAATATCAATTAGAGTAATAAAGCTTCTAAAATTCGATGGCTGGATGCAAAACTCTTACAAACACCATTAATTGCAATTTGGCGTTTGCCTGGAGTCATGCACCCCACCCTCGTTGTACAACAGCTCAATAACATCGACAAAGAAAAAAAAGTAAATCACAGCAAGCAAAGTGAGATCACTTTGATGTATAAAACATACATACAAAAAAAAATGACAAGGAACATCTATAGCCACACAGCAGGTGTGAGGAAAGCACGACACGAACCACCGAGGCAGAATCAGATACCTATCGGGTGAGACTGGACGAAGCCTTCCTCGTCCACGTCCTCCTCAGAGTCCACAGAGTCGTCCACGAGCACCGGCTGGTCCCCCATCATGATGTCCGTCCAGTAGCCAATCGTGGTGGAAGTCAGAGGTCGCTGCTGGCCGCCCGCGCCGGGGGGAGGTGGGTTGGGGCTGGTGGACACGGCCGACTCTGTGTTGACGTGCTGGTCCAGAGAGCCGAAGTGACCCGTCACGCTGGCCTCTTTAGCCTCCTTGTTCTTTAGCCCGCCGAGGATCCCCTGCTGCTTCTCGCGATCCTCCGATTGTTTCGCCTTCTTCACGGATGGAATCTCCTCCTTAACAGAGTCTTCTGTCTTCTTCGCCTTGGCGTGAGCAGCCTTCAGCTCCTCCACACTCCCGTAAGGAGGCTCGCCGTACCCAGATTCCGGCCACATCGGCAGCTCCTGGTCTTGCACTTGATTCTTCTTTTCCTTCTTCCTGTTCTTCTTCTTTTTCTCCTTTTTATCGCTGTTGCTGGGGGAGTCTTCCGCGTGATTATCTCCGTTATTAGTGAAAGACTTTCGCTTGGCGGCCGGGCCTGACAGGTCTTTCTTCACAGACGGCTTGGTCTTCATCTGCGGGTAATCCGGGTCGTAAATAACTCCTTGGCTGTAGTGAGACTTGTCAGCGTGAGAAGCAGCCTCGTCCGCCTCAAGAGGCATCTTGTCAATACTGGGAACCTTTTGGCTTTTCTTAAAAGGAGGAGATACGGTCGATTTCACGGGAGCGGCAGGAGACCTTGTGTTACCTCTTCCAAACTGTCCTTTGGGAATGGGGGAGATCGTGATGTCTCCATTATCGTGCTCGGTGATGTCGTATTTCTCGTCAGGATCCTGCTCCTCCTCGCTTTCGTCCTCATCGAAAGCGTCGTACACAGAGTCGTCGAATTCGTCATACCAATCGTCATAATACTCTTCGCTTTCATCTTCGTCATCGTCGTCGTCATCACCGCTGTCTTTATCTTCTGACACGTTGTTAGCATCTTTAGCACCAGTGTCCTCATTAGGATTTACATTTTTCTTGTCATCATTTTCCAGCATATTCTCATCGTCGTCCTCGTCCTCATTAGAATCATAATATTCTTCGCTTTCATCTTCTTCATCTTCATCATCATCATCCTCCTCATCATCATCGTATTCATTGGAGGAACTATTACCTGAATCGTCCTCATTTTCCTTCTTATCGTCCTCCGAATCATCCTCGTCATCATCGTAGTAATCAAATGCAGAGGCATCCCAGTCGTCCCAGTCCACAAACTTGCTCTTCTTTTTCTTCTCTTCGAGGCCACTATCACTGTTTGCTTTCTTCACCTCATCGGTCTTCTTTTTCTTCTCAGTCGCACCGGGGCCGTTCATGGCGTTAATCTGAGACATGGCGATATTCTGGCCTTTGCCGTAGATCGAATTCTCGTCATTGCCCGTCGCAACCTTGACCTCCTCGGGCACTTCCTCCTTCACGTTATACGCAGCCGGGTCGTCGCCCTGGGGCAACTCCGAGACATCGTCGTTGTCATCGTCTTCATTGTCGTCGTCATCGTCGTCGTCATCGTCTTCATCATCGTCTTTGTTATCAACTGCATTATTCCTCAAAGCCTGATTTTTCGACAGGCGAGACGCGATTTCTTTGACTTCGTCCAAAACGTGATGACCCAGCTTCGAGACGTCCGGTCCGAAACTGACAGCTTTCTTCTCTGTACCATCTGTCTCCTGGGACTTACCCACAACCTCCTCGGCGTCTTCTTGCTCTTCCGCTTCCTTCTCGTCAGCCACTTCCTCCGAGTCGTCTGCGTCCTCCACCCCTTCGTCAGTCTCCTCCTGCGTCGACGCTGGCTTGCTGGGGTTACTCTGGGAGTATGTGGAAGGATAGCTTCCCTCCCAACTGCTCTTGCCGAACACCCGGCCGCCCATGTTGTTGTAATACCCGCCTGTCTCAGGGTCTACGAACGAGTTGATGTTGTCTCCGGGCCGGTAAGAGGGCGACCAAGAGTCTTCCTCTTCTTTCTTCTCACCCTCCTCCTCATTCGACTCTTCCGAACTGGTAGCAGATGACTCACCACCCTCCTGACTGGCCGCAGCTTTACCCTTCGCAGCTTGACCGTCATCGACTCCAGCACTGGGTTTCTCACTATCCCCCTGAGGGATCTCCGACTTGGTGTTGTCCCTGTTCCCAGAGTCCAAGTCGTCTTGCTCGTCGTCGGATTTCGCTGGATCTGCCGCGTCATTCTGAGGCATCTCATTAGCAGTTTGAGCATTCTCACCTGTCACCTCGTGCGGCGCTGACGTCGGCTCAGACGTCTCTCCGTTCTTCGGGTCCCACAGGTCGTCGTCCATCTTGTCTTCCCACCATCTTGACGTGGTCACATCCACCTGGAACAAGTGTTGTTAAAAACTAAATTAAATGTGAACATGTTGCGTTTGTTTGAGTAACACTTTTACGACACTTGCAACGCAAATAGGTCACATGAGTGCCACACATTAGAGATGTTGTAAGAGAGAGACAAACACCCAAAAAGGAGACGAAATAAAGACGAAAGATGTTTGAAAGGATACATGGAGCAAACCACACCAGAGCACCTGCCAACCACCGACATGCAGCAGGTCGAGTAACCAGAGGCATATCCACACCAAACTGCCTATTTAGTGAACAAGAAAAGCAAGATAAAAAGGCAGAAACTAAGCTATAGGGGAAAGACATAATATTAACTCATAAAACACGTTGAGCGTCCCTTTCAATACTATAGGGGTTCTCGTGTTCGAGAGTTTACAGTGTTCGCCTCTCATTCAATAGGTCCCATGTTCGAATCAAGATAGCAACGGACAATTTTCTTCTCTAAAATTATCTCCTTTTACCTTCTTTCCTGCTTTCAAACCATGTTCTGTCGTCAGCTTTCGTCTCCACTTGCTGCCCTCACGTCCTTGCATCAATTGCCCCCTTCCTCTGCTCTCCGGACTCTTTCTGCGGCCTTTCTACTGCTACTGTTTGGCTCCTTCTTACTGCTGTCTTTCTGCCACACCCCTGATCTTATGGTAGGTAAGATCGAACACCTAGCCTTCTCGGATAAGGGAGAAAAATATCTCGGAGGTCCCGTGTGCAAGTTGCGCACGTTTAAGATCCCTTGGTAATCCAAAATCATTAAGAGTAGGTTTCGGCCGCCACCCGGGCAAAATTCAAAAATTACTACCAACTGAAAATGGG